CCTGATCCCCATGGTCTGCTCGCTGTCGCACAGGCCGAGCGGCGGCGCCTGCCGCCACGAGAAGAGGCACCGCCACACTGCCTCCCTTGGCCGCACTCTTGACTAACTTGCCCTGGAGCCCTTGGAGACGACCACGACACTCCTGCAACTGAAAGGCCGCGAGGCGAGTGCGGGCAACCTTGCCGCAGTTGGTGCACTTGGAATAACCGCGGCACACTTCCAGAACGTGCGGGTGCCTGGGACCAGCCTGGGGTCGTGCAGCCTGAGGAGCGTTGGCCTCTTGGCCCTGCTGTCGTTTGGGCCGAGGCTCCGCCAACCTGACCCCGTCGAGGAGGACCCTGAAGTGCCCGATGTACTCTAGCACGCGCTTGGTGGCCTTGAGCTCCTGCTTCACCTGCAACGTGGCCCACTCTGGCGGCGCGCTGAGGTCTGCTCCTTGCTTGGCCCATTCGTCGGCTAAGTCATTGTGCCTCATGTGAATTTGGACCTCCTCTGGCAGCGCTAAACGTTTGACCTGCGATATGTGCGAGGCGACTTTGGTGACCGACAACTCTCTGCCAGGAAGGATGTCCATGTCATCCAGGCGATCCCAGATCTCGAGCCAGACGTGCGCATAGGGCCTGGCCGCTGAACAACACCATGCCCTGCCACGGGCCAGGCCTTGGACCACCTGAGCATTGTCCATGATGATGGCCGCGATGAAGACCGAATGCCTGAGGGCGTGGAGGAGACCCCACAACTCTGCCAGGACCGAGCTGGGGTCGGGAAAGGGCAGTGGGCCGTGCAGGCCCTGCACCACGTCGTCGGCCTCCGCTGTGCACTGCAAAGCCGCCCAGCCGCCGTGCCTGAGGTCATCCAGGCCTTTGACTGATCCGTCCGAAACCAGCACATCGGTGAGCTCGGGGGCCGCGCCATTGACGATCCAATGGGCGCGCTGCGACGGTAGGCTCCAAGCCAAGCCGTAACATGGGGTTCGCCGCAAACCCCGCTCCCACAACCATCTTGAGGCTTCCGACGAGGAGGCCGACAAGCCCAGGTGGCCGACGTCTCTGAAGGTAGGTGTCGAGTCGTGGGCCGTCAGCTGCTCCCTCACCGTAGCACGCGTCGGGCTGCCGCGCCGCCAGTAATCGTGCTGGTGGGTGCCGAAACAGGTCGTGTCGTCGCAAAGCTGGCAATGCGGAGTGTCCGCCTGGCCCGAAAAGAAAAGGGCCTCCTGCGAAGGGAAACCGCCCAACACCGCCTTCTTGACCGCATCGGCATGGTGTTGCAGCCACCCGTCCTGCTTGCGCCGCTTGACCAACTGCCTCGCTGGGGTGAGCCACGGCGCTGGCAGGAGCGCAGCCCGCTCGGGCTGAGCCTTAGCCCACTGGCACAGGGCTCTGGAACGGGCTGCCAAAAGCACGGCTGCCTCGACCGACTTGGGGCAGATCTGCAGTAGATCAAGATGGACATCCCCTCCTTGGAGCACCCCGCCTCGTGGAGGCAAGACAATCTCGAAGGCCGACGGCATGCTCCAACCATGGGCTCGAACTGTGACTGAGGTGGCCCCCGCTGGGCCGCGCACCATTGACCACAACTCCTGAGCGTCGGCGTCCATGTACAGCGCAAGCTGTTGCTGCACTCGGGCCCATGCTGTGGCCTGCGCACGCCGCCCCTCCGGGTGGTCCCACGCTTCCCTCGCCCAAGCCAGCAGCGGTGCCAGAACGAGGGTGTCGGCGCAACTGGGGTCGAGGCCGTCGTGCAAGACTCGGGAGGTAAAAGCTGTGGCGCCCCTGCGGACGGCCCGATCCTTCTGCTGGATAAAACGCACGATGGGCCTGGGCGTGCCGCGGACACGGGCGCCGTAGGCGACCGAGGCTCCGAGGCCCTGCCGCGCGACCATCTTGAGCTTGCCTCCGCGTGCACGAGGAAGGCCGCGGATCTTAGGCCAACGCTGCTTGGCTATCTTAAGCCGCGCGTGTCTGACTGGGGCTGACTGGTTCTCTGTCTTGAAGCTGGGACCGTAGTCGATGCCGAGCCACCGCTCGGAGGTGCTGGGCGGTACTCCAAGGACGGCCATGGCCTGCGTCAAGCCTGAAGACGGAGTGGCCGTTTGCAGGAAAGAGCACTTGCCTCTCGCCCCGTCCCGCGCTCGGGCTACCTCCAGGCCCAAGAAGGACTCCAGCATCCAAAACAGCAAGCGCGTGGCCTGCGGCAGCATGTGCAAGACGCGCGCCTCGGTGGACATGACCCGCAGGGCGATGTCATCAACGTACAAGTAGATCGTGAGGCGGAAAACCCCCAGCAGGTCGTCTAAGCACAGCGTGAGGTAGAACCTCAGGAAGGTGGGCGCAAAACGGCTGCCCGCTGGGAGCGCTGTGGAGGACAGGACCTCCGCCGAGCAGGCCTCCCCGAGACGAATGACACGGCCAAAGGCGAAACTCTCCAGGGCGAGCGCGACCACCTCCAGCGGGCCGCCCCACCAAGCTGCTAGCCACCACATACGCTCATGCGGAACCTTCTCATAACACTTGGCGAGGTCCGCCAGCATCGCGGCCGCGCGTATGCCTGTGCCCAACACGAGCTCGTCGTCCAACAAGGCTTTCCACAGCGCACGCTCCGATGATTGGCCCGCCGCCGTGTAGTCGTAGCTCCTGGGGTGCGCCGCCAACCAGCTCCTGATGGTGGGCAGCTGCCACGCCTCCCAGATGCGGCAAGGGCCAGGTAGAAGAATGATGGGTCGGCCCCCTCCATCGAGCTTCCCGATGATGAAAACGAGCAGGAGGTGGACCTGGGACGGCCGCCGCCCCAGTTGTTGGCACCAGGCCAGCAATGACGCGAGCACCGATAGCGTGCCGTCCGTGAGGTAGGCCCAAAGCTTGGGTTGCCATCCGTCCACGCCGATCCCCGTCTTGGCCCTGAAACGCTGGGCCAAACCGCGCAGGTGGTGAGGGCTGGGCGGCGTGACGGCGACTTGCTGGAGGCCCCTCCACGGCTTGGGGAAACCTGAGCCAGTGGTCCAGACCTTCGACCAGTCGTGCAACTCCTGGTCCACGGCGGCCTGAGGCGCCGCTGGGAGCAGCTTCTTGGAGATACTGCCCTTGGGAGCCGGCCAAGCCTGGCGCCACTTGGTGACCCTGTGGAGGAGCCCCTGCGAGCCTGGGAAGTCGTCCTCTAACCGCTGCTTGAAGGAATCTCGACGTTCCTTGCCGATCTGCCACTCCAAGTACGAGGCATACTGACTGCAGCTGAGGCGCCAAGCCGAGAGCTCCTGCAAGTCTTCATAGCCGCGGTCCCGAGACGTGAAAACCTCGAAGAACTCCCGCAGCTCAGCCACGCCTTCTAATAGCATGTGGTGCCTGAAGCGGTCACGCAACTTGCGGATGGAGGCGTGCCGCTGCTGGTGCAACGTGGTGAGGGCCAGGTCGGAAGCGCCCGTGTAGCTGAAAAGCTTTACTTCAATGATGCCCAGCCAAGCCAACTCGTTGGCAAACCACCTCCAACGCTTGGCCTCCCCGTGCGAAGCGATGGCCTCGGTGTGGGTCGGGAGCAACGGGCACTTCCTGAAGCGCGGTGGTCCCCCACGACCTCGGCATTGATCGGCTTGCCTACTGCTGGGGTCCAAGCCCACCTTCTGGATCAGCTCCTCCTCGGCGGCGTGGCAGAACGCCTCCCAGGTGTCGTCCAGGAGCTCCTGGGTAGGCACCGCATCGGGGTCGAAACCTGCAGGCACGTCTGGGCACGAGAGATCGAAGTGCCTCGGCTTGACTCCTGGGATCGGGAACTTGTGGGGTCGGATGAGCTTGGTGCAGGTAAAGGCCGACCAAGGCTGCTGAAACTCGACCCATGTGGCTCTATGAGGGTGGTAGACCGCGTCGTCGTCAATGCGGGCTGGGGAAATATTGGCAGCCAAACTGGAGTGCATCCAGAAATAATCGATCACGCGCTCACCGTGCGGGGAGCGGTTGGTGCCCCCTTCCCCGTGCCACGCTACGACGCGGCCTCTGAGCTGGTTGTTCCACCGCGAACGCTCCAAAGCACCAGGTAGATTCTCCCAGTCCGCGATGACGATCCAGGGCAGCTGGAGCTTGACTGCCCACCCCGTGATAACTGACAGGAGAGCTGAATTGCCCACAGACGCCAACTTCTGACCAGTGAAGCAATACGCACAGAAAACCAGTAACTTGCCGATGCCCTTGGCCTCGAGGGTGGCCATCAGGGGCCTGCCTGCACAACCTGGGGGAGATATGTCCCAGTGTCGCTGTCCAGATGCAAGAGTGACGCCGACACAGGCAGGTATCGCCAGCAAGACGCCCGCCGAGGCCCCTCCATTCGGGCCGTCCGTCGCTGGCGTGGGTAGGGCCCTCCAGCCCAAGGGCAGCAGGGCCCTTGCGCTCTCTTCGGCCCATAAACGCCGCTTGCCGTGCTCCTGGAAACCGATGATCGGAATCTTGCCCTCGGTGAGCTGCTGGTGTGCCGCGCCGTGGAGGTAGCCCACAACATTGCCCCAGCTGAGGCTGGCATTGACGCTGTGGAAGGTGAAGCGCCTGTGGCTCCGCTGTCGACGCTTGCCTCTGCGGGCTCCTGCTGCTGAGGGTCGATACTTGGCGACGTCGCACTGGGGCTTTGCCGATGTCCCGCTGCAGGTGGACTGGCCGCCAACACTGCCGACACTGACGTCCCCGCCCTCGGTAGGGTGTGCCACCGTCTCATGGGCCATCTCGATGATGTTAGGCTGCCCAGGGCCGCGGTGGCATTCCCCAGATGAGACAGCTGAGCCTGCAGAAACAAAAACTGACGTAAGCAACGCCTGACTGCCTCCGTGGGCAGAGCCACCAACACCTGCTGAAACAACTGGGTCCGAGAAACCACCAATTGACGTAAACTGCGCCTGAGGGCCTCCAGCGGCCAAGAAAGCCCCGCCTGTGGGAGCAGCAAAGTCCGAGCAACCACCAACTGGCGTAAGCTGCTCCTGAGTGCCTCCAACGGCGACAGAGAAACCATCTACAGTTGAGGCATCTGAGCCAGAGAGGCCACGGTCTGACGAAAGCTGCACCTGGGTGCCTCCAGCGGCAAAGAAACCACCATCCGTGGAAACTGCAGAGCCAGAAACACCACTGACTGAAATAAGCTGCGCCTGGGTGCCACCATCGGCGGCCGAGAGACCATCGCCCGTTGAAACAGCTGAGCCAGAGAAACCACCAACTGACGTAAGCTGATCTGGGCTGCCTCCGACGGCAGAGTGACCACCAGCTGAAATGCATGGGGCAGCTCCTCGGTGCTCGTCCTTGAGGTTGCACGCGGCTGGGGTGGGAGTGAGCTCGGTGCATTCAACGGGCGAGGCAGAGCAACACAGCGGCTCCTCCGTGGTCCCAGTCGAGGTGGATGGGCCGAGGTCGGCCTCCAGCACCTTCGCGGCGCACAACCTCCAGCAGTGGATGCGGTCGTCGAAGTAGACGGTGGGGGCCTGCGTTCCCGTCGTCGCCTGGGACTGGCGGTCGAACCACCGCTCCGCGGCCGACTGGGTGCGGTCCTGCTGAGCCGCCTCACGCTCGAAAGCATCCTGATTAGCCACTTGCAGATGCTCCAACCACTGCCGCTGGAGGCGCCTGGCCTCCCCTCCGCGGTTCCAGGCTTCGTCACCCAACTCCCGTGTAATCCTCATGCGCTCGGCAATTCGGGATCCGCTGCCCGTGGTGGCTGCCAGGTCGTCCAGCATGGCTGTGTACTCCCCAGGGCCCAGCTGGTGGAAGATGTACGGCACGCAGTAGGAGTCCCAGTGCCTGCGGTCCTGAGCCGTGGTCCCCAGCGACGGGGTAGGGCGCCAGTGCAGAGCCATGCGGCGCATACGCGTGGCCAGGATGGCCCGCTCCCGCCTGCCCAGGCGGACGAGTCTGGGCTCTCGTGGCTTGGCCTCTGGCGGCGCGTCAGGTCCCCAGGACTGGGCCTTACGCATCTGCGTCCCCAGCTGGAACGGCGGCTGCTGCTTCCAAGTCCCGCCTGAGCTGAGCCAACTTGGCTGCGCCATCGGGGCCGCGGAGGCTGGGTGGCTCAGGAGGGTGAGCACCAGGAGGCCCAGCAGGGGCCCCAGGCTGCCCAGGGGTGGGGGCCTGGGCTGGGGCCGCGGCGGCCGCTGGGGCCTCCGCGGGGCCTGCTGCCGCAGGGCCTGCGACTGGCGCTTGGGCTGGGGCCGCGGCGGCCGCTGGGGCCTCCGCGGGGCCTGCTGCCGCTGGGCCTGCGACTGGCGCCTGGGCTGGCAGCTGGTCTGCTGCTCCTGCCGCCTCGGTGCGAGGCCGCTTGCGCCTGGCCAGCAGCTGCTGGTGCTTGGCGTCGATCTCGCTGCGCCTCTGCTCCAGCTGCGTCTTGGCCTCACCGAAGGTGGTGCGCACGTGCTGCTTGACTTGCTCGACGAAGCCCTCCAGGGACTTGTTGAACTCCTCGCGCTCCGTGTCGGTGATGTCCAGGTCTGGGTCGTCCAGCCTGAAGGCGTCGCCTGCCTCGACCTGGAAGTCTTCCGCCAAAAGCGCCGTGACGTTGAGGCCCACGGCAGGCTGAGCCTTGGCGCCAGGCCCCTGCGCCCCCTGCGCCTGCACCTGGACGCCCTTGGGCGCTGCTGCCTTGTAGGCCTCCTCCACCTCCACGTTGCACGCCAGGACGAGCTCACCTGCACGCACCTCCTCCTCGCGGCAGGCCTGGAGCCACTGCTCGGCGTCGTGGACCTGCTGGGACTTGGAGAGGAAGGCGGCTTGAGCCCGACGCTGCTTGGCCTGGGCGCGGTCGAGGGCCACATCTGGCAACACCGTGGCCGCAACGGGCGGTGGTGCGACTGCCATCTTGATGGCCTCGAGCTGCTGGCCGCGCTCGGGATGCCTGGCCGCCAACGCCGCGAGGCACTCTGCATCCGACGGCGGGGCGGGCTGCGGTGGCGGTGCCTCGTACCCGAACCAGTCGTCAGAGTGCCGCACCCACGGCTCGCGCGCGAATGACCACGCCGATGCCCGTAGCTGCGGAGGCTCGTCCACTGCGGCAGGCTTGAGCGGCTTCTTGCAGTTGTAGCACTCCACCCTGGCCTTGAAGTTCCACTTGTACGAGCAGTTCGCACAGCGGACGTAGTCCAGGGGGTTGGCTCCGCTCGCGTTGGTCTTGCCTGCCTTGCCAACTCCTTTGCTCTTGCCCTTGCCGCCGCCGCCCTTGGCCCGCGGCTCAGACCTGGCCCTCTGCGAGGCACTGGACATGGCGAGTGGGCAGCGCACAGCCTACCCCTTGCCAACACACGAAACAAAACTGTCGGGCGGAGAAGCCCTGGCACTGGCCGCGGACTAGCGGTATCCACTCGTTCCCCTGTGGAACAATTCATCTTGAGCCAAAATGGCTACGTGTGTGTGTGTGTGTGTGTGTGTGTGTGTGTGTGTGTGTGTGTGTGTGTGTGTGTGTGTGTGTGTGTGTGTGTGTGTGTGTGTGTGTGTGTGTGTGTGTGTGTGTGTGTGTGTGTGTGGGGGGTAGTGTGCGTGTGTGTGTGTGTGTGTGTGTGTGTGTGTGTTTGTTTGTGTGATTATGTTTGTTTTGTGTGTGCGTGTGTGAGGGAGAGTGAGTGCGTGCGCGCGTGCGTGAGTGCGTGCGTGCGTGTGTGTGTGTGTGTGCGTGTGTGTGTGTGTGTGCGTGTGTGTGTGTGTGTGTGTGTGTGTGTGTGCGTGCGTGCGTGCGAGCGTGCGTGCGTGCGTGCGTGCGTGCGTGCGTGCGTGTGTGGTGTGTGAGTGTGTGTGTGTGGTGGGGGCGGCAGGAGCAACTCGGAGGACACGCCGCTGTGCTCACTTCGGCCCCTGCGCTGCCGCCCGCCAGGCCAAGCGCCGGCGGTTGGGCTGAGCCGCGCGCCCCGGGGCAAGCGCCGTGGCGGGGCGATGGCCGCGGGCGCCACCGCTGCTCGGCACCACCGCCGTCGGTCCGCGCCCTGCCCTCGCCCTCCAGAAAAGCACGGCCGCCCAAATGGGGTCCGAGCAACTGGACGAGGTCGGAGGATCGCGCCGCGTCGCTGATGGGTTGGCTGTCGGCCTTCGGGTGGGTTATTTATTCGCTTCGCTCACTCCGATGGCCAATCTTGCATCACTGGTGCTATATGTTACATGTTTGTGCGCTAGTGGCGAGCGAACACACAAGGAGGAGGGAGGAGGAGAGGGAAGGAAGAAGGAAGGGTCGGTGAGACAATAGGAGGCCTCTCGGGGGCCTCTTGGCGGTGTTTCTGAGACCTCCTGGGGCGTCACAGGGGGCGTGAGCCTCTTGGGAGTCTCTTGAGGCCCCTTGGGTACCTCTTGGGGGTTTCTTGGCGGCCTCTTGGGGCCTCCAGGGGACCTTCTGTGCCTAGAGCTGGAAATGTCCCTTCGGGTCCCCCGTCGGGGCTTTAGCCCAAAAGCCAGATCTCGGCGGCACGCCTGGGTGAACGGGTGCCCCGGTGCCCGGGTGCCTGGGTGCCGAGGTGCCCGGGTGCCGGTGCGCCTGGGCAGTTGTCCAGGTGCCCGGGTGCCCAGGTGCCAGGGTGCTTGGATGTCCAGGTGCCGAGGTGCCCAGCTGCCCGGGTGCCCAATCTTTATAGCATTACAGTCTTATAGTTGTATAGCCCTGTAGCCCCAGAGCCTTATAGCTCTATAGACCTATAACCCTAGTAGCCCTATAGCCCGATTTGCCTAAATTCATATAGCCCGATAGCCCTATAGCCCTATAATCGCATCAAGCAATTGAGAACCCTCTCCCCGCCCCCACCCCTCTCCGGCGAAAGTATAACGCACCCGGCACCCCAGAAGCATTACCATGGCACCTCGAACATTTATGTGAACGCAGACGAGTCTGCTTGCCGAAAGAAGCAAACCTTCTGCTTCGTAGTAAACAGAACAAATATTCCTGCTCCTTCTCCTCAAGACTCTCATACGGCGTGGCACCAACACGAATAACGACAATAATACCAGCAGTACGAATTATATCTAGAACAACATGGCCAATAACAGCAACACCAGCAACAACATTGACATCAAAAACACCAACAACACCAGCAACACCAACAATAGCAACATTAATTCCCACGCAAGGGAGAGGCCAGCTTTGAAAAGGAACCGTTCGTGCCTACGATGGGCGGCGAATAATTTTGGCGGTGCAGGTACTAAGTTAACGCGCCGCGCGTGGAGGGGGCGATATTCTCGGATGCACTACCCCACACGACGGCCGGGAATAAACAATTGTTCAATAGGGGTGGCACCAATAATCGTATAGGGCAAGGGTGATGCAGAACATGAGAAAAAAGGAGGGGGGAGGAAAGAAGCAGGGGAGCCCGTCTGTTTTCGGATGTGTGTTTGATTATCCTTACTCTTATTCGTATTATGTTTATTATTATATCTTATTATTTGCGTTATTATTACTGGTCTCATTGTACTTCTTGTCTGTTTGGACAAGCTGTCGTAATTATGCTGTGCGGGTGAGGTGCTAAGATAACGCGCCGTGCGTGGCGGGGGCGATATCCTCGGATGCACCACCCCACACGACGGCCGGGAACAACAAAGTTTCAGCAGGGGTGGCAATCCAATTCGTATGTGGCATGGATGATGAAGAGAATGACAAAACAGTTCTTATGTGTAGTATTATTACTTTATAATTATGATTTGAATGTTATTCGTATTATTCGTTGTAATATGATCATGATGGTTCGTAGTATTATTACTCTTGTTACGATGTATGGCATTATTCGTATTAGTGCTCGTATTAGTATTCGGCTTATGCTTATTGTCTTATTTATACTACTATCATTATTATTATCCTTTTTTCGTATCGGTAGTATCAGATCACCATTATTATTCGTATCATGATTGTTATGCTTCTCAGTGTTCTTCTTATTATTCGCCTTTCACTCTTATTCTTATTATTCGTCCAGTTCCACTTGAGATACCACCCTAGTCCGGGTGCGGGAATTATTTAGTTTCGTTCCATTTGCACGGTGCTAATCATATCGTTCGGCGAAAACCGCCCCCCATAATTATTTATTTACGGTGCGGTGTCAATGATAAACCCGGGGTTGTCCTTAATGGTTTGATGAGGTTAGCCCTATAGCCTTTTATAGCCCCATCGTCCTATATGTAGCCGTCTAGCCCTTCAGTCATATAGCCCTGTAGCCCCATAGCCCTATAGTTCTATAGCTATATAGCCCAATCGCCCTATAGCCATACAGCCATATAGCTATTATAGTCCCTATAGCCCTATAGCCCGAAGCCTTATAGCCTTGTAGCCCTACAGCCCTATAGCCCGATATTTCTATATGCCTATAGCCCTACAGCCCTGCAGCCCTAGAGACATATAGCCCTATGGTCCTATAGCCCCATAGCCCTGAGGCCCTCAACATATCATGATTGGTTTTTATCTGGTATCATTAACAGAAAGTTACATATAGTATACATTGTGGTTCTAGGTATTTTACATAAGGTTGTTCCCAGCATGACTCTTCCAACCCTGTCTACCTTGTTCTTGCCAGCTACTAATGGTCCAGAGACTTTGTTTCAGTGATATTATCAGATTTTACGGCGAAGCCCTGTTAGACCGGTCGAACGAGGCCGCGCTGCAATCTTGAGGCGGTGTTTTTGTTCAGCATGCTTAAGGTTTCCAACCATTTGCTAGACTATTTGGTCTTGTTGTTGCAGTGTGGAAGTTTCCCACAACAGGCTCCAAAGCAGAGCCAAGGCAGCTGCATCAGCTCGGCGGCGGGATTGGCAGCACATGTTTCGTGCAAGTTTGTACATGCAGTTTCATTTCGGTAGCCGCGCAAAGGTACAGATTGTGAAGGTTGCTTCGTAGAGAACAGTGGGTGGCGAGGATGAGGACAAAGGGTGATGAGGAGGAGTCTTTGGAGAGGCAGGAGCCTTGAACAAGCGGCAAGCGACGCTCCGTCGCCGGGCTTGGGAGCGTTTTTTGAGGGGCCGACATGGCCGAGCGCGGGGTGGACGGGCCTCGCGCTGGCCGCGCGGCCCCATCCCCTCCTCCCCCTCCTCCCGCGGGCCTTCTCCGATGCCCTGTCCTTCCCCCGCCCCCACCCCCCCTTGGCCCTAGTCCTCCTCCCCGGCCGGTGTCGCCACCGCCGCCGCTGTTGCCATCGTCGCCCTCTCCCTGGTTAGCTTATATTATGAGCATAGAGCCCTGGGACCGCTGGTAGTTCCGCACGTGGTCGTCGTCCTCCTCCTCTTTTTTCGTCTTCGCCCCTCCCCCTTTCGTCTTCTTTGCCCCCCATCGTGCTAGCCGCCGTCAGGGGTCAGCGGATGAGGAGCGGCCGATTTACAAGTTACACAGTTCCATTGCGGACACAGGACCTTCTAACGGGGTCTCGGCCAGGGTGTGGATGGCCGCCTTTGCATGCAAGGTTGTAGATGTAGCGCTCAGCATGCGCAGTGCGTGGTGCAACCCACGTTCAGCATCTGCATGCCAACAACTGGAGGAGATCAGCATGCCCCCAATGATGGGGACGACCACGCCCTCTCTTTCGCACGAGATCGCAAGAGACGCTGCAAGCAACCGCCGAGCCCCACCAGGACAACTAGCAGGCAGGGGATCAGACAGAAGATAACCCACTAACTACGGAATCCTGCGACTGTCGTGTATGTTGCACCGACGGGTATTCATACCTCTTGCAACCATGAGCGAAACACGGGCTCGGTGGTCTCGAGAGGCGTGTGGCGGAATGGGAAGGTGTACGTCCATAGTTGTGGGGAAGGACACCAACATCAGTGATTCAGTGATTTCAGGGCGACCCCTACGGTGCCATGAGCAGCAGCGCGACACATACAGTATGTACATGCTCCCCAGAGCCCGAATGCTCCGAACGGCAGCCACATCTCATTCAGTTGTGGAAAGACAGGGCTGTCGCGGGTACCAGCATACCACGATAATGGCCTCATTTCTTACGGACCACGCGGGGGAACAAACCAAGCGGATCACGTTGCAGTGCCAAAGAAAGTTCGGGACCTTGCGACGGCTTGCAGGAACTCACGAGCTGGTGGAACACATACATACCAAATGCTGGCCAGGGCATGCGGAAACCATATTCCACTGGGACTCGTATTACTAATTTTGATCATTGCAAATCCATTTCCACGGAAACGCCGACACAGGGAAACACTGCACATCAGGATATTATCCTCTTGTGGCTGCGGGAGGATACTGAGAAAAAAGGTGCAGGTGACGGA